AACACACTAAGGACGTAACAAATACTCACAAAATTCTTCATTCTCATTGTTTTAGGGTATTTCAATGTGATATCTTCATGAAGAGTTTTGAAGATCTGTAAGATGTATTTCCTCCTAGGAAAAGTGAATCAGGGCGTGTTTCCCCCCTTCCCCCCTCCTATGATTTCACCAACTTCTGCAAAATGTCTCTGTGTAAAACTAGTATACTCCCCTTTTGGTAGTAAGAACACACACTTTTTCTCTGCCACACATGGTGTGATGACTGGCTGATAATTCAAATAATTTCTTCTATGTTTCCAATCCTTAAAAGTCTTTGCAACAAAGGACAGTCATTTTAATTGTGTTTCTTTTATATTGTTTGCACTGAAGTCTTCTATTTTTTTAAGTATTGGCTGAGTTTTCCTTAATTTTCACACACACACCCATTCTTGTAGGCACCACTACATACCTCAGCCTTTTGTGGAACAAAGAAAATACTTTTATGGTTCTTCAAGTAATAGTTCACTTGCAAGAGACAAGGCTTTCTCCCTTATTGGCCCCAGTACTGTGGAATTCTTGGGCATTGAGAGTAAACTTGGTTCCCTCCTTGACTGGTTTGAAGCAGGCTGTTCATTTACATCTGCTTTTAAATGCTGACACCAGCCTATATTCTTGTGTCGTCAATTTTTGGACAAGGACATCCAAAATCCCCCTAGCCAGAATGTACTCGAAAAATTGTAATTTTTTCCTAGTTCCCATTTTATTTTTGGAAAGTACAGGACAAAAGATTGCAAAAGAAGATGCCTTTTAATGCAGGTTACTTCTCTGCCCTGCAGTGTTTGTTTCCCCAAATGAATTTCCTTTCCCTCCTAAGAGTAATGCTTTCTTACTTCCTGCTATTAAAGTGCATTTAGAATTTCTCCTCATCAAAGCCCATTACCCGCATTAAGCTACCTTCTTGCTGTTTATTATCTTCAAATATTTATAGAGACTTTCCTGAGCACTAATTGCCAAATGTTAGTTATGCTTCGTGCTGTTCAGTGACTATTTGCATAACATTTATTTAACCCACGCCAGAACAATGCTACACACATCTAGAGATTTCCTTGATAATCCCTTGTCTTCCTTTGAAAGTAAATAACTTGTCATTACCAATTCCTAATGTTCTGATCCAGGAGATCCTTGTGTTTAAGTAGGTCTCACACAGGAGGGAAAAAGACTATACAAAAAAAGAAAGAAAGAAGGGGAGAGAGAGAGAGAGAGAGAGAGAGAGGCTTCTCTTTATAGCCAAGCATTATATCTAGCGTGTAAAGCTTTCCACATGGAGGGAGATTTAAATTAGCGAGACTGCCAAATTCCATCCCATTCAGTGTCTGGGCCAGCATCCTGGTTGTTGGTTGGCACAGAAAGATTTCCTGAATGTTGCCAAGGCTTGCCACATTGTAAGACTGGCTTATATTTAGTAACCAGATATTGAAATTAATTCCTCAAACTGCAGATCCATGAAGCAATTTTCCAGTGAGTAGAGAAAAACCTGTTATATCCTTTGCAGTGTACTGATCTGAGTAGGAGAGAGGACAGAGTGTGGAGTGTCAAGATGGCCGCCTCTGGCCTTGAAAATTACCATGGGGACATTCCTTTCAAGCTTGCGCTAGTTTACATATAGTTGTCTTAATTTTCCATTTTACGGCTCACTCTCTCTGTTTAGCACTGAGATAGGATTTGTGAGTGGCTTTTCAACTTTCCATTCTCAGATTTCAAGCTCTTCTATATCTTGGAAGAAAACAGAGATGGAACAGAATTTCACTTAAATCTTGTTTTGGTAAGAATTAATAAACACTCACATACCATCATATTAAAGATTGAACAAAACCATGAGCTTTAAAAGTGTGCTGCTGCTTATATACCACCCCCATGACACTTAAAGCACTCTCTGGCAGCTTACAATATAATTATGCAGGCGACACAATGCACACATATCCCTCAGTGAGTTGGGTACACAATTTACTGACCTTGGAAGGATGACCTCGAGCTGGCTAACTGAGCCTATCAGGATTGAACTCAGGTTCTAAGAAGAGCCTTGACTGCAGAACTACAATTTACAATTGTGTCATGTGGCTCCTCCATCAAAACATTCCACTGTGGGAGAAATCACAGTTATGACAGATGTATTCATTCAGAACCATTGACTACATGACTCTTAAACTCAGGGTTCAAATCCCTGTGTACCCAACCATGTGAGAGCCAAACTAGGATAGGCATCTCTCTCTCTCTCTCTCTCTCTCTCTCTGTGTGTGTGTGTGTGTGTGTATCTTTCTCTCATCTTCACAGGGACTCCTGGTCTTCAAGAAAAGGAGGCTCAACATAGTTATCTAGCTGCTGGGAACAACTGTACATACTGCTATTTGGCCATGCTGGACAGGGAAAATTTCACTCTGGTTTCATTATGCATGCTGATGAAAATACTGCATGCCACCGCTTCCTTTTGCATTGCTACAACAAGACCATGGTTACAGGACTAAGAGTATAAATACAATTGAGATTAAATTAAATTACAGCACACACTCATGCAAGTACACAGACATCTTTATTTCATTATGCATAGCAGCAGCTGGTATAACATTTTAAGTTCTATGGGACTATTTGTTTACTTAGATATCTATTAATGAACCTTGTAAATGCAGTTGTACAAAATGAGTCTCTTCTTATTCACAGTGATATAACAGATAGCATGAGCAATTATTCGTTCGTTCGTTCGTTTAGTCGTGTCCGACTCTTCGTGATCCCATGGACCAGAGCACACCCCATTTGTGAGCCCAAGTCCTTGGCAACAGCACCAATGCAGCAGTTATTCAATGAAGTTCGTTTCCCCTTTTAAAAGTCAATTTCAGATAAAAATCCAAGATATCTTCCTCAATTGGGTTGGGTATCCATAACATAGCTACAAATGCAGAGTCTTCAAAGCCCTAGAATAAAACATCAATTTAATTGCTGATACATGAATTCACTATGTGGTTTCACCCCTCCAATACACATATACACTGGTACCTCGATTTACAAACATAATCCATATTGGAATGGCGTTCGTACATTGAAAAGTTCATAAGTCGAGGCAAACTTTTCCATAAGAATGCATTGAAAATCATTTAATCCATACCTGCTGTTTTTCTTTCGTGTGTTGAGGCACTGTTCATAGGTAGAGGCATTAGTTCCCATAGGAACTAATGCAAAACCGGTTAATCCGTACTCTACTACTAGGGGGATATTTCTTTTCTTTCTTTCTTTCTTTCTTTCTTTCTCTTTCTTTCTTTCTTTCTTTCTTTCTTTCTTTCTTTCTTTCTTTCTTTCTTTGGTTCACAAGTCAATGCTCCATTCACAAGTCGAAGCAACATTTTGCGAATGGGGCCATTCGTAACTCAAATCATTCGCAAGTGGAGACGTTCGTAAGTCGAGGTACCACTGTATAGGAATTAGACCTAGACCAATTTGCCAAAGGCCTTAGTAGCGTAAGTGGCCAGTTCTCTTCAGCTCTCCCATTTTTTTCTGATTCAAATCTCTTACTCACAGCGTCACTCTTTCTTAGTCACACCCCTTTGGGCTGAACCAGTATTTTATTGGAGTTACACTGACTTGTCAGCACGCTTCCCAGATCCATAGGCATCTCAGAAACAGAATAGTGGTTTCGCTGGCACATGCAGCTTTGCCACAGAGGAGCTTCTTTGCCCCCTTCCCCTGGGATGAGGCAAGATGAGAATCTCACCTCGCATCATCCAAGGATCAGAGATTGGGGAAAGCAGTAAATAGCTGCGCTCCCCCCTCCTTCTTTTGAGACTTTCTTCTCGGCTGGAATAGTATTGGTGCTGCACTTGCCTATAACACATGTGGCACAGCATTTTCAAAACCGCAAGTGGTGTGAGGGGGTGTCTTGGTACTCCCTCAAGGTTTGAGGGCAAGAGGCCTTCACTTGAGCCCCTTGATTGCCTTTTTAAGGCAACTTAAAATTAAATAAATAAAAGAAGAAGAAAGAAAGTTTGAAGAGGAGCAAAAGCACTCATAAGGGGGAGGGTCGCACCCCTGGGGTGGGTGCCAATATTCTGAGGGCTTAATTTAAGCAGCCCCTTCATGAATAAAAGGGAATAAAAGGCACTTAATAATTAATTACTTACATATTCATAAATGTCTTTATGTGCATGACATGCTGCAGTTTTAGGTTGGTGTCTGGTTGCCTTGTTTTCTTACTTTCAGGTCTCATCAGGTCCATGAGGCATTGGAGAATCCAGATGGTGAGCAACAGTTTTATCTTTTGGGCAGCTAAGCACACTGCTAGGATGTCATGGGGCCGGGATTTAGGCCTTGGAGACGCCGCCTGGCTGAAATGGAAAGGACGGAGGGACTTGATGTGGGAGATGTTTCAAGAAGCAACCTTTCCTGGAGTGTCAGATTTGGCCCTGGATATCTTGCTAGTCCTTTTGGGTTTCAATGATTTGGCAACACAATGTGGCAAGGCCATCATTCTAGACGTATTGAGGGGGCTGCATGAATGGAAGTGCAGGTGGCCTGAGATGAGAATCATCTGGTCCAACATTATTCCGTACTACGTGCAGAGTAGAATGTGATCTGCAATGTGTAAACCGGGCCAGGCGGAAAGTTAATAGGGAGGTTTGTGGGGCAATGAGCAAGGATCTGGGTTCAGTGGTAGGCCACCCAGATATCCATTTGGACAGGTCAGAGTTGCAACGGGGTTTATTTATCAGAACAAGGCATGAACATATTTGACAGACCTGCAGAGGGGCCTGCATGCCAAGGTGCTTGGTTTGGTGGGGGAAACAGAACATAGCTGAGCTGGCCCCATTCCTATGGCAGGTACTGTGGAAAGAACAATGATTGGTGAGTGTCCAAGGAGTACAAGGGGGTGTCTGACCTCATGGTGCTGCAGATTGTGAGGTTACAGTGCTGGGGGGGAGGAGGTGCTGGGGCCCTACCCAGGCCGAGGGGGGCTTATAGGCCCAGGGTGATTGCATCAGGCACCGGCCAGTGTTGCACTGTCCAAGGGATCAGACAGCAACAAGGAGTGGACAGTGAGATCTTTATTCTTTGTCTTTTAAATTATTTCATCTTGGCAATGATCTAAAATAAGTGTTAAAATTAAGATGTTTTAAATGGTTTTTATGATGTTTGTTATATTATGATGTTTTATCATGTGTGTAAGCCGTCCCGAGTAGACTTTGTCTAGGGGGGCAGGGTAAAAATCTAATAAAGTAAAGTAAACCTGATTCTGCACTACCGCAGACCCCCCCCCCCCGCTTGGGAACAGCAGGGGTAAATGTCAGTTAGCTAGGCATCCTTCAGGCCAATTCAAGAGTGACAATCTCTTCCACACGGAAAACAAATCGAATCTGTCCCCTGTCCAGCTCCCTGATTTTGCTGCGTTTGTGACTTCCTCTTTGCCGCGGCCTGCTGGACAAGGTTCTCTTCAAATTGGGAGAGGCCGTGATGCAACGCCTGCCTCCAGGCTGAACGCTCAGATGTCAGGGTTTCCCATCTGTTGAGGTCTATTCCTAAGGCCTTCAGATCCCGCTTGCAGATATCCTTGTATCGCAGCTGTGGTCTCCCTCTGGGGTGATTTCCCTGCACTAATTCTCCATACAGGAGATCCTTTGGAATCCGACCATCAGCTATTCTCACGACGTGCCCAAGCCAATGTAGATGTCACTGTTTCAGTAATGTATACATGCTGAAAATTCCAGCTCGTTCTAGGACTACTCTATTTGGAACTTTGTCCTCCCAGGTGATACAAAAAATCCGTTAGAGGCAATGCATATGGAAGGTGTTCAGCTTCCTCTCCTGCTGTGCCCAAAGGGTCCAGGACTCACTGCAGTACAGGAGTGTGCTCAGGACACAGGCTCTATAGACCTGGATCTTGGTATGTGTCATCAGCTTCTTATTGAGCCATACTCTCTTTGTGAGTCTAGAGAATATGGTAGCTGCTTTGCCAATGCGTTTATCCAGCTCAACATCTAGAGGAAGGATGTCAGAGATGGTTGAGCCAAGGTACACAAAGTCAAGAACAACCTCCAATTCTTGTGTGGAGATGGTAATAGAGGGAGGTGAGTCCACGCCCTGGCCCATGACTTGTGGTTTCTTCAGGCTGATTGTTAGTCCAAAGTCTTGGCAGGCCTTGCTGAAACGATTCATGAGTTGTTGGAGGTCTTCAGCAGAGTGAGCAACAATGGCTGCATCATCGGCAAAGAGGAAGTCCCACATGCATTTCAGCTGGACTTTGGTCTTTACTCTCAGTATAGAGAGATTAAAGAGCTTTCCATCTTATCTAGTCTGGAGATAATAAAGTGTGGCCCTAGTTAATCCAGCTATTGTGTCTCACCTCTTTATTCCAGGGTGTGGGGTGGGGGGCTGATGTGTGCAGCATTGCTGGAGCAGAGCTTCTTTCCCCCAGGATGAGGCAAGATGAGAATCTCACCGTGCGTCATTCAAGGGGTTGGGGTTGGGGACTGCAGTATATAACTGCGCCCCCCTCCTTCTCTGCCTCAAAACAATAAACATATTTTTAAATTTTATTTCTATTTATTTATTGTATTTATACCCTGCCTATCTAGTCATTTCAACCACTCTGGGCAGCTTACTACATAAAGTATAACAAGTTCAAGAAAAATTTATAACAAAATTAAATGATTCTGCGATGGGAAAAATACAAAATAAATCAAATAAAGAGAAAAAGAATAAAAAAGGAAAGAGGACAGGAATTAACTGGAAGGGAAGGCCTGCCTGTACATCCACATTTTTAGTTGGTTCTTAAAAGTACCCAGCGAGGGTGCAGCGCGAATCTCCTGAGGTAGGTTATTCCAGAGGCAAGGAGCCACCGCCGAGAAGGCCCAGGTTCTAGTTCTCTCCTTCCGGGCCTCCCTCGGCATCAGGCTCCTCTGCCTCACCTCCTGGCTCGCGTGGGTGACACAGGTAGAACTAGTTGGGAGTAAGCGTTTCGCCAAGTATCGAGGTCCTAAACCATTTAGGGCTTTATATGTAAGCATTAACACTTTGAAGTCAATGCGGAAACAGATGGGCAGCCAGTGCAGCATGGCCAGAGTAGGAGAGATATCTCACATACCAGTGTGAGATAGGCGAAAAACGCTGCCAGCCAAACACCAATCTAGGTAGCAAGGAAAAAAAATTACTATCCAGCCGTCAAAAGGGTGATCCATAATTCACACTGGTCTTAAGCATGGGTGGATGGGTGGGAGGTATACAGTGCCCTAGTTGTGTGATCTATCCACTCAAAGCCCATACAACATTCATCATTTGTGACGCCCACACCCTAATTGTCTAATAATATTTCAGTAAAGTTTAGTAAACAAGAGAACAAAGAGAAATAAGAATATTCCAGAGCATGAAAATACTATTTGAACAGTGACACAAGTTTTTCTCTTTGGCTTACAGAGTGGCTGTAAAGGGTTAAGTTTACTACACTGTGATCTCAGTCAAAGCTTTCCTTTGTGTGTCAGTGGTTAGGCAAAACCCTGGACTTTACTGGGCAGTGAGATGGCTGTCACTCATCCTCTCCTTTGCTGCAGGCAGGTTAGTACTGTACACTGCATTGCTTTCTTTCTTTTGCTGCAGAAAGAATCTCTCTAGACTGAGAGTAAAGACATCTTTTTAGCCCTACAAATACTGAATGAGGAACACAAACCTCTTCTGTTATAAAATACAGATGCAAAAAGAAGCAATACCTTTATAGACCACAAAAAAAAAAAATCATCATACAATTCACAAGCTTTTGTGGATTAAATACAATTTCATCAGTATATCTGTGAAGATTCTCAGTCATCCAGATGAGGTTATTTGGAAGTTGAGTCATGGCAACGGGACTTATTTCTTGGGTTGAAACATATCGCTACTGCGAAATGTTTCAACGTAACAAGAAAGAAGTCCCGTTGCCATGACTCAACTTCCAGACCATTTCATCAGGTTGGTACCGGTGAGAAGAACTTAAAAGTCCAAATGTTCATGGCATGATAGATTTTGCCAGGCATTTTGCTGTTGGATGTAAAGTCCAAAAGGTTCTTGGCATGGTGGAAATGGCCAAACATCTCTCTCTCTTGGATGTCTCTCTTAGATGTAGCTCAGGAGACTGGTTGCTGTTTTACAGCTATGGCTTAGGCATTTGTGGCTTGAGTAACAACCCAGTTCTCCAAACAAAGAAGCACAGGCCATGCGTGTATATCCACCTACCCCATTTATGGCCTTTCTTTGAATGGAAAATGTTTCTTCTTAGCCAGCGTGAGTGAAGGTCGGGTGCAGCGTGTGACACAGAAAACCTGAGTCCTCCATCTGAGAATTGGGGTGATAATTTAATAAAGTAACTAGGTGTAACCAATTGGGGTCTAATTAAAGCCAAACCTAGTGATTGCTCTATCCCAGGCAGAATGAATCAAGTCATCCCTTGCTATGTCACAACTGTATTATATTGTAGTTATAACTCCTTGATTGGAAAAGGAACTAATCACAAGTAACTATTTTTTCTGAACTAGCTTTTCCAGGCCCTGGAATTAGTGTCAGTGAGAAATGGATGCCTAATTCACCTGTATGATGACATATTCTTTTGCATGATACAGCTGGCATTCTTCTCATACAGATTTCTTCCCAGAATTTGGAACTTCCACATTTAGCTCACTTTGTTTCTGAAGTACAGCTGATGAACTAGAAATCATCCATTGTTCCATTCTTTTTATTGCATGTTTCATTCTCCACAGAGCAATGTGCTGTAGCTTGCAATTCATCTCTCCCTCCTTCATTTTTCTATTTCTGAAATACATTTGCACATTGATGCCACTTCAAAAGACAACCAATCTTAATGTGATGGTATCTGTGATTGCATCAAGGCTCATTTTGTTGTAGTCTTATACACAGGATCCTGATGAAGTACCAGATCCTCTTTAGAGGACATTCTCTGAGTTCCATTTGGAGGTGAATGGAATCTGGGCAAAGGGTTCTGTCTTGGAAACGTTGGTGTAACATTTAGAGATAAATTGCCTCAAGCCTGAAATTACTGTAAACATTATTTGTCCAGTGCTGAGTTGAATTACTCAGTCATCATCATGCAGAATGCTCAGAAGTGCTTTATCATTCCCTTCTTCTAGGGCCATCCTGGGGCTGTGAAGCTTGCCCAAAGCCAACCAAGCTGGCTTTTCTCCCTGGAAGCACCATGAGGAATCAAACTCTCCACAGCCAGATAGCTAAACTACTGAGCTATCCAGAACAGATGTTTACTGTGATTTCTTATTCTGAAACACTTCACTACCATTTCATTTATGCTTCTGAGTGTAACTGACAGGATTTTGGAAATTGCTTTATTAAAGTCTATTATTTGTTTGTTTGTTTGCTAATTTCTTTGCAAGCTGTTTGGGGAACAATTGGGGTCCCAGGAACAAGATACTAAATATTCAAAATAGTAGTAATTGAAAAAAACTTGTTACTTCGATGCATTAGTAAAATACTGAAGAAAATCAATGAGGTAGTATTGGTATGGTATATCTCAAGTATCATTTTGTACAGTTCTAGTTTACCAATTAAATAATGTGCAACAGTACATCGCTAAAATATTTCACAAAAGGAATCTTGATGTAAGAAGAAATGTGATCACATTAGAAATATCGGTTGTTAATTTACATTTAAGATATGCCCTATCACCATAATCCAGTCTGCCTCCAAATAAGGGTGTACAGATGGGCGCCCAACCCACCCTATGCCTTGGAGATGCTCTGAGCTCATCCTCGTCTGAATCCATCCTGATATTTGTGTGTTTCTTGATCGTAGAGTAGTGTGAACCATCGCTATGAAAAGGGAGATGACTTGGGGTAGGGGATTACAAACTGGCATCAAATTTATTTGGGGCAGAATGATTTGCCCACCTCCAGTTCAGAGGACATGAAAAGAAGAGAAACAGAAGACAGCCGTTATAAGCCCTGGAGTGATACACCAGCAAGAAAGGAGAAAATATGGTGGGAAGGAAGACATACATCAGCGCACTGGTTCTTAACCTTGGGTTACTCAGGAGTTTTGGACTGCAACTCCCAGAAGCCTTCACCACCAGTTGTCCTGACTGGGGTTTCTGGGAATTGCAGTTCAAAAGCATCCGAGTAACAAAGGTTAAGAACCACTGCATTAGCATAAAGCAAATCACTCAAAATCCATATAGATTTTCATACATAGAATTCATTTGGACGTGCACACACTCCGAGTGATGTAACTAACTAACCAAATTGTTTAAAAGCAGAAGGCAAAAAAATTTGAAACTACAAAGCCAAAACATCAATTGAAGGCCTTCACTTTGCATTGCAGCTAAACATGCATATATCTATATATCTATATCTATATTTATATGTAGAGTATATCTCTATCTATCTTTTTTTCTCTCTCTTTCTTTCTTTCTAGAGCAGTTGGTATAGGCCAGGGATCCACTAATTACTAGCAGTGGAAGGCTATGTCTGTCCCATTGATTGTTCAGGAGAGGCCTGGGGGTTCAATGGGGAACTGAGCTCTCAATCTTCCCTATGCCATTACTAGCTGATTCATTTGGCACCAACTCAACACTTTCCTAATGAGGCGCTGATTCTTTTGAGTCCCTTTCCCCCACCTTTAATTGTGCATTGTCCTTTTATTCTTAACTCCACAGTGCTGGAGCAGGAGCCTCACGGTGTGGTGGTTAAACTGGAGTACTCAGTCAGAGACTCTTCTCACAACCTGAGATCGATCCTGGTCTCAGCTGGCTTGAGGTTGACTCTGTCTTTCAACCTTCCGAGGTTGGCAAATTGAGTATCCATATAGCCTGAATTATTAAACTGTACACTGCCCAAAGAGAACTTTAAGCACTATAGGTCGGTATATAAGCAGCACACTTTTTTTGGTTGCTTTGCACCCCTTGAGTGCCCCTGGGCTCTTTGCTCTGCCCCATGGTTGTTTTAGAAGTGCATAAATAGCACTGATTCGGTCCTTGTTTACACATTCTAGCAAAAACAGTGCATCTTCCTAATTTATATCTCACCTTTTCGAATCCCTCCCAAGTTGTCCCAGCACACACACGTTCACAAAAACTGAAGGAAGAGCTGTGAAAATCGATGTGTGCTCAAATTCGAGAATTAATATTATAAATTCTTTTATAGTGAATCCAGAATTATGCTAAGATGAGTGCAATGCAAGAGGGAGTAAACCCAATGAACAAGAACAGAATAGTGGAAATCAAAGTGCCCTTAACTATCCTAGTGTGCATAATAACCAAATCCCTCCTAGCTCTACAAAGAGTTTACGAACACGGTTTGTAGGGCAAGGCGAGTTTGCCATCTGCATCTCACATTGGCGTAGGTGTTCCCTAATAAAAGTACTGAATATTTTATGGCTTCCACAAAGTTTAATAGGGTTCTATGGAAGTAGCTTTATGAAGTGCAGCATTTGAAATGCATTGGATGGAATGTGGAGCATTAAATTTTCCATGGATTGTTTGAACCAAATTCAGTATTTGAAGCATAATTTCCTTCCACATTATAAAGGCTCATTTAAAACCTTTCTATAAAGTCATACCACTGTCTTTTAAAAGCCATCAGATATGAATCAGGCAACATTAAAATATATGCATCTAAGAAACAAGGACCATTTAGAATTGCAGGTTAGAAGAAGAGCTGGCATTTATGCTAATTTTAAACAGGTGTGTGGGTTGTTTTACGGCATATATAGTCATCAGAAGCAACCCACAGTATCTCACAATTGTCTACAACAGCATGAAGACATGTCATAGATTAATGCATTCCCCATGCTTTCCAAGGTGCACGCCTGCTGTCTACCAATATCAGATCTGACATGTTGATGGATACAGGTCAGGCAGCTATTGCCAGTCAGTAATTTCATTATCCATAGGTGGTTTCTTTACCATGTCTAATTTATCACTAGCACATCTGTGTTGATACTGCTTTTCTAAGTTTGCAGGTACCATGCTTATATATCTTGAGGGACATTATAAATATAAGGGCTGCCAAACATTCCAGCTACATCACTTTTCCACTGTTTTGTGGACACTGTTCGTAGAGCATTCGCAGAACCATAAAAGATGGCACAAGCTAATAGGGATGGCCAGGAATTCCATCTGCTCCCTTGAAGCAGGGCTGGTTCTGGGATGGGGGAAGAGGGGATACCCAGAACTGGAGGGCAGTATATCTAATGGCTTACCTCGTGGTAGCAAGAGCACTCTTCTAAGGAGTCACAATAGGTTGGGTATAGCAACCAGTTAAATTTCCACAATATCCAAATGAAGCACCATTTAGGGTGTTTTCCAACACTAAACTGTCAGGCAGATTTTTGTTCCTTTTTGTCTGGGACATGGCAGGTGCTACTGGCTAGCCTTGGTGGCAGCTGTTCAGAATGTCATTTATGAATGGAAGTAGCCAAAGCTTCTTGGCTATATAATATCAGCCATATCTTGATCAGCCAGTTCCTCTTCCAGTAGCTTAAAAATGAAGACAATAAAATAAATTTTAAAATGCCCATCCATGCTGTCAAGTCATTGGACTTTATCCACTTTCCCTTCAGCCCTGTGTGCCAGAAGCCCTTGCTTGAATGGCCATGAATATAATATGGGCATGAGGGGAAGATCGCAGGAGGAGAGTCCTCTATCATTGACAGCATGGATGCAGTTTTTCTAAAGGAAAAGAGAGAAAAGCTCTGTTTACGTAGATATAGTTTAGGAACTGTAGAGCCTACACACATTAGTTCTTTGCCATCATTATTCTCCACATGGCAGCATGACTGTTTGGCAAGGTGAACCTGTGTAGCCTCTTCACATGAGGGAGAAATCTGCCCATCCAGATTTTGGCTCACATGGGAAAGCTACCTCAGTACAACAGCTTCTCCTTTTTCCACAAAGCCACATTTCTGTATTAATAATGACAGAGGAGGGAAGAGGGTTATGACTTTTTACTCACAACAGGTGGGCTCAATAGGATGAGAGGGGGAAAAGAGAGAGTGAAGACCATTTGTTTACTTAGTATAATTAATATAGTAAGCATACATCTGTCCCCTGTCAGGGGGATTTTATTCATCTTTACCACTACTAAATATCTAAAGCCTTGGAAAACAGGAGAGGAAGGGACTGTTCTTCTCACTCCTCACCCGAAAAAACAGTGGTTGGTAATTTTATTATCTATCATTCATTTATATACACTCTGCAGCCATCTCACCACCATTACCAAAAAAAGGAGAGAAAAATTTGGCACAGTATTCATTTTAAAGGTCCTTCTTTTGATGTTAAAATTTCATGGTTTCTTTGTCCTCTCTTAGCTAGTGTTGCTGTCACATTAATCTGCATTTTCTTTTTATCATTTGCTAAAAATTCCCCAAAAAAGAACAATCTTTTCGTTTCTATGGTACTGCAACAAATATTTCTGTGAAGTTTGATAGTATATGTAACTCCCACGCTTTTGGTAATGGTAGATGATGAGAATACATGCAGAATTTTACGAAGTCCTTACTGAAGTCTGCTTGAAAGGATACCTCCCTCACAGTACTATGTAAGCCAAGATATAAATCTTGTATGTTCTCCCTCTTAGAGAGGAAGGGGTGGGTGAAGGAGCCATGTTTTTCTCACAATAAAACATTTATGTGCAAGATTTCCCTCCCACAGAAAAATCTTGCTGAAAATCTTATAGGATTTCTCAGAAATGTTGTGGTCATTTTTTTTTCTGAAAAAACAGTAGACCTGCAAAGGATTACTGCAATTGTTGCACTGAATGGCATTTTTCCTGTACAAGATTAATTGGGAATGTTATTAAGGTACACAGATTTTGGCCCTTCTTTGCACAGGAGCATAACCTATAAAATAATGACAGGGAAAACTAGACCTGGTCTCATTTTTACAGGAAGCTGGGAAATCTTGTTGATTCAAAGGGGAAGTCCTGGTAGGGAGACTCCATGTGGTGAGACTTGGAAAATCATAGAGAACAAGAAACTTTCTAAGTATTCAAACCATCCCTAATATAATCCCTATTGAATTTAAAACCTCTGTATAGTTCACTTATTTTGGAAGGCCCACATTCAAAAATTTCGGGAGGACCACATTCAAAATTGTGATAAATGTAAGAAAACCTCAACATTTCATCAAAGTTGTCAAATTCTATGAATACCTCTCTGG